GTATCTAGTCTAATCCGATAATTCGGTCTGATTCAGCTACTGCGTGAAACACGCAAGATTGTTCTATCTGTAGCCAACGGCTACACTTGTACAACAAGCTAGTAATAGTGGATGCGAGCTTATGAGGACTATCTTTGTCAGCACATGCTCCAGTGGTGGGTAGGGGGTCTACCCAGAAGAAAGATGCGGTGGAGCTGGAGCCCATATCATTCACATCAGGAGTGCTGAAGGGAGCGGATAGTGCCGTGATGAATTTTGCGCCAGCAGTGCACTTTGAAGCACCACTGATAGTATACGAGTCCACTGTCCTAGCCAAAGACATGCAAAGCAATGATGATGTGGAGAGATGGCTGCCAACGCTGGCATTGCTTGGGCTAGAGGAGCCAAGCGACAAGAGCGACTATGGAGGGCAGTCTGAGGATACCCCCTCAGAAGGTGAGATGCCTGCTAACCATAGATTGCAGTTAGCACAGAACGAGAAGAAGGCGGGCTGCAGAGAGCATGAAGCTGCACAACAGAGGAAAGTTGGTAAGAATTGCCAAGAGCAGGCCATGGGATGCATACTGGAGCGTCTGGGAGTATTTGCCGACAGCATGGCCATCAAACAGTATAACTGGTTCTTTGGCAGCACTCTCGACAGTCATTTTTATTATTTGCACCTCACAAACACTGTATTTGTGTGTGATGAGGCCATCACTGCCAAGACTTATGAGGAAGGGTGAGGTGAGAGGTATCACCATACCTCGATTGAACTGAGCAGAGTTGCACTGCAAGGATTCCCCAACAACTACAGAAATTGAGGGCACTCGCTGATACACATGGGAAGTCAATGACTATTCATATTGAGGCTCCTTCTTTACCTCTATCCACTAGTAATAACCATTAGTGCCCAGAGTTCCTGTGTACAGAGATGTAATTGATTTACTCCTCAAGAATGGTTTGGAGTTCTCTGGAATTTCCCTTTTGGACTCCCAGGACTTCTCTGGGGTTAGGGTTTATGCTCTGCCAGCTGTACAGTACATTCCCATGCCTCTCCTCCTGCCTTGATGTGCTGCATGCTGGCAGAGGAGTCCTTAGACTTGTTCTCTTTGGATTTCCCTCTGCCAGGTGATTAGTTACTTCCTGTTGTACCATACTGCTCCTAATACACCTTTGGATTTCCCTCTGCCAGTTGTGTGATTAGCTGCAACCTCTGGAGGTTGCCCTTACAAACAAGGGGAGGAGTGACACATACAAATAAATGTCAATCAACAGTGGCATTTTAAAACAACTCAAGAGGGATCTAGGAAAAATACAAAATACAAGAAGAGTTGAGTGACAATCAAACAAGAAAAGATTCACAGTGTGAAAATTATGAAAGCAACCAGCAGATAACATTCAAACTGATGTAGAGATGAACAATTATAGAGTCATGTTGCATATGTATAAGAGGAGAGTAAAAAAGAGGCGAATGACAAGTTTTTTGACCTCATTTTTAGTGTAGGTTTGAATTGTCAAGTATTTTTCTTCTTTTTGTTTCTTCCTGTGTATTTTGGAAGAGATTTCTGCTATAGGAAATCCATTAGGCTAAGTCAACAGGAACAATCTACATGTTACCATCTGTCTACTTGCACCTTCTCCTAAGAAATGATCTACTATCTTTTTGGACTACTTCCACAAGTCCCTTCCACAATGGTCAGACTTGTCCTACCAGCCACTGAAAAGTGACTCTCATTTCTTCTCAAAAATTATCTATGCTGAAGCTGCTGTTAGAGACCAATTGTCTAAGATTGGTGACATGACAGTGGCCCACTCAGCCTTCTTTTGTATCATTAGTCTTCATTCTCATCTCATCTTGATAGTTCTTTGCTTACTCTCCTACCTCTTCCTATATTGAATTGTCATTACATTTGTTTTTTGTACTATGTATCCAGTCCTCTGTGTTCCAGGCATAGTTGTCAAGTATATGCAGGTGCATTTCTTCACCCAGGCCTCTCAACTCGCCACCAAAAACCAGAATTGTGAAGGACAAAAGCACGAAGGCTAGATTAGACATACATTTCGGATACGGGGAATCGAACCCCGGGCTGCCGCGTTCATAGAAGTATTCTGGAATGAAAGGCGGCAATGTTAGCCGTTACACCATATCCGATGGCGAAAATATGAGCAAAACACTGTGTAATTCGTTCGCCAAGGCACATCCTTGGCAGTTCTTTTTTCTCGAGGGACCTCGCAGAACATGGAGGCTGGGTTATGTTTTCCAAGAATGAACAATGAGCTGCGTCCGAGAAAAGCAAGTTGATGCTTCACACTAGCCGAATAAAATTGATTTGATGTATGATGGTACACAGAAAATTCCCACCGCCGACACTGTGCGCAGTGCTGGATGTTCAGACTCGTCGGAGGAAAGGAAACCGAGCAAGACAAAGACACTGCCACGAGATCGACGTCCTCTGCCTCTTCCTCGTCGTCTTCCCTCTCCCACTCCCGTGCGCGGAAGCCCAGAAAAAAACAAAAACATAGGATAAAACATAGAATGTCGAGCGCGGACTATGAGCTCCTCGAGAGCGGCGTCAAGCCGAGTCCAAGTCCAATTCGGCGCCGGTTCACGTGGAAAAGGCTTGTGGTTGCTGCGGTGGTCGTCCTTACGACTGTCTGGCTGTTTGCGCCGCGACTACCAGCGTCGAGGCTCTCGTCGTCGTCTCCACCATCGTCCTCAACGTCTTCCTCGTCGTCCCCGCCGTCGTCTCCAGCACCGCCTGCCGTAGAACTCACCTTTGAAACCGACCTCGACCGCACATCGACCGCTTCGTGCACACAGCCTCATACCGCCAGCACACCACTGATCCACTACACACTCCTGCTCGACGCCGGCTCGACAGGCTCCCGCATCCACATCTACAAATTCCACAATTGCCACGCGAGCCCGACGCTCGAATACGAGGTCTTCTCGCAGACACAGCCCGGCCTCTCCGCGTTTGCCGCCGACCCTGCGCGCGGCGCACAGAGCCTCGACGTCCTCATGGACGAAGCCACGCGCGTCGTGCCCCCCGCGCTACGCCCGTGCACCCCTGTCATCGTCCGCGCGACCGCAGGACTCCGTCTCCTCCACGGCACGCGCGCAGAGGAGCTCCTCCGCGCAGTCGAGGAGCGTCTGCGCCGCTGGGAGTTTGCAGTGCTGCACGGCGCCGTGAGCGTCCTGGACGGCCGCGACGAGGGCGTGTACGCGTGGGTCACGGCGAACTACCTCTTCGGTGCGCTCGAGCGCGCGCAGGCGCAGGAGCGGCGCGAGACGTACGCGGTGCTCGACCTCGGTGGGGCGTCGACGCAGATTGCGTTCGAGCCGTGGACGCCGGCGGCGGCGGCTGCGATGCCCGCGGGCGAGCACCGCTACGAGTTTGCGATGGCGGGACGGACGCATGTGTTGTACCAGCACTCGTACCTCGGCTACGGCCTCATGCGCGCGCGCGAGGACGTCCACCGTCTCGTCGACTTTACTGCGCGTCTGCGCGCCGGCAACGACAGCGAGAGCGCCGTCCTTACCCGTGTGGGCAACCCGTGTGTCATCAAGCACACCGAGCGCGTCGTCCCCCTCGACGGGAGAAACGTCACCATGGCCGGCGAGGACATTGCCTCCTTCGACGCATGTCTCCGCGTCGTCGACCTCATCATCGCCAAAGACACGTAAGCCCTCTGTATTCTATCCCTGCGTGTCCCCGCTAACCCGCACAACAGAACATGCAAAGCCCCGCCGTGCTCCTTCAACGGCGTCTACCAGCCCCCGCTCACCGACACATTCCCCACAGGCCCCATCCTCCTCCTCTCCTACTTCTACGACCGCCTCGCCCCGCTCCTCCCCACACACACCGCGCACCTCACCGTACACACCATCTCCGCCCTCGCGCGGCGCATCTGCGCAGGCGACGTCGACGCCGACGTCGACGCGCGCGAGGTGCAGGGGCGCCCCGAGTACTGCCTCGACCTCACGTACATGTACGCGCTCCTCCGCCGCGGGTACGATTTCCCCGACGCCCGCGAGGTGCGCATCGCGAAGCGCGTGCGTGGCACCGAGCTCGGGTGGGCGCTCGGTGCTGCCCTCGCACAGCCTTCCCAGGCGAACTCGGGTGCGCAGTGTGTCGCGCCGGCGTGATGAGACTCTTCGTATGTACATATACCGTATATAGATACCTTCAGGATGTTTTTGCGCAGGATACGTAGAGACTTTTGCACAGGCTAGTGGTAAAAAAACGTCCCTGTACAGGCAACAATATTTCTAGCTTTTGTAACCGTTGACAGTCGGATATGGTGTAACGGCTAACATTGCCGCCTCTCATACATATAGTGCTCACGCGGCAGCTCGGGGTTCGATTCCCCGTATCCGAATGTTCGTACACCATGAAAGAAATTTTTTTGAAAAAGCACATCACAAAATTCGCTAACCCATATGCGCCTGTGACCCATATGCGCCTGTGACTCCTCTGCTGCTAGGAGCGACGAGAGCGGGCTGCAGAGGCAACAGATGGCGCCGACCCGGCGAATAAGATAGCGAAATCCGGCTCGCTACGCGCGCGTAGCGAGCCACGTGTAATTGGACTCCGCGGCTGAACGCGATGGGTAAAAGTACAATACAAAGTAATGTAGGCTGCTATAATATGAAATATAGTATCATGGGAGAGGTGGGTGGGCGATCGAAAAGATAAACGACGAGAGAGACTATAGATACCAAAGGAAAGCGGGGTGAGCGAAGCCCAGTCGCAACAACGACTATCTGGGCTTACATTAATTAATCGGACTCCAGCGACGGAA